GAAATATAACCAGACTAACAGTTTGGATGATCACAGTGTAATCATCACAATTCTGTCATTTTCCTTGGAAATGTAGCCCACAGTTATGCCAGATAAAAAAAAATCCATCTACTTTTAATTTGTATCCTCCATTGAAACCACCTTTATGTGGCCCAGGATCTCAGATAGGTCACCAGTTTAACACCAGACTCACAAACACTGAGATATCTCACATGTCTCACACAATCAACCACAGCATGGTGCTGCAAACCTTTCTGTGTGACACCAAAACACTTAATTCTCTTTTAATTCTTATTTGGAGCGTGCTTGGTGTCATGGGGCAGCTTCTACAAAAGCAATTTGTGAGCACAGTTTACATGCAGATTGCTAATGTTCACATTTCAGAAACGGTTGTTGTTGTTGTTGGCAAATAACTGTTTGCAAATCAGTTATGAAACGAGTCTCAGTTGTAAAAAAAAAATGCTTGAATTTAGTTCTGATGGTCACCGCACCACAATGCGCTCACTTAAAAGTAAACACGGATCACATACTTTCTCTTGATTTCGGAAGGTTGCATTATTTGGAAAGCATGTCAATTAACCTGTCGAGCCCAAGGCGAAATTTCTACCTTCAGAAACACTCAGGTTTAGTCAGCAGCAGCTCTGTCATTGTGAGGCCAAAGTGAACAGCCTTGGGCTCTGTGGATAAGAGACAAGTTAGAGAGTTTGAAAATACAGTGAGTTCAGTGACCAGGCCAGAATGACAGCTAAAAACTAACATGTTTTTTGTTTCTTCTCTTTGATTAAAACTTACAATTTTGATAAGAGGATTAAAGAAATGCTCATACCAGTGCGTCACAATATCTTTAAACCTTTGTAACATCCCAGTGGATCGTTGCTACAATAACCAGTATGGCATTGTTTCACTGCGGGGCCCTAAAGTGGAACAGATTAACAGCCTTTATATCTGTGAAGTGGAAACGGGCGTCTGCAAACCTCTGTCACAGTGGGGTCAACGTTCTTTTTTTTTACAAATTGCTCTTTTTTTTTCTTTGTCTTTAATAGGTTTTCTTACTGTTTTTAAGAGGTTGCCTTCTAATACAACGCTTTTTTTTTTTCTTTCCTGCAGTCGTTGCTCTTTTCTCTTTTCTAACGCTTGTAATTGGTCTGCAGTAATCTTCCTACAAAAGCAGCACTGAGTGGCGTCGAGGCAGCAGAGCTCCTTAAGCTAATGGCTAATATTGCTGAGGTGCTCCGCCGAGTGCTTTTAGATGCTCATTTGTGCCGGCTGCCACCCGGTATTTTAATGGCTCTCTTATTAGTCATCCAGTCATGCTATACTGACACTGATGCTGCGCCGGAATTATGGCCGGCGCCACGGTGCAGTGATATGGTTGCTGATGATAATGGTGATTGTTTTTATATTTGTTCATCCAGAGTAATATGTGATCATTATGAGTTCTTTATATTCATTCACCGGGGTAATTTAGATCCACATTTATATCATAATGCTTAGTCTGTAACCATGTCTGGTCATTATTCTACTTTTTTTTGTACTGACACACTTTTTTGATCAAGTTTCTCAATTGGAATCAACAGTGTACTCAATGTGTTCTTCTACTCTGTTGTCACATTGTTGTTTGAATGCCGACATGTGGCTTCTAACAATGCTGTAATGAGCAACCTGCACACACACACACACACACTCACGTACATGCAGCCTCAGTTGTGGGCTGAGTGGGAATCAGCAGAAAGCTGATTCAAACCCACACACTTGTAGTTGCCTTCATTTGTTGACTAAACCTATCAGGGTTTCAGGATGTCAGCAGCACACGATCAGCTTCAAAAGCCTCCAATAAGAAACAAGGGACAATTGTTTCATGGCTGAAACAGGCGTTTGGATCGGTAAACGGGGATAAACATTTAAAATATTTCTTTTTTTATATCAGCTACTTTGGCGCACAATCTGGAATGTTATGAATACTTCTTTTTGAAGCATCTGTTAGACCAACATTTTCACTAATTTAAGAAAGTTTGCGAGACTGAATCAAGTGTGTTTTTGCTGCATCAGTTCAGCGTTGACCAGAGAAATATTTTCAACCCAAGAAATTTGGAATTCATGAAATGTCCCAGTTCTATACTTTTGTCTAACTTTTCGTTTGCAAATCAAAAATCAAAAAAATAAATTCTAATAACTTGTTTAACTGTAAACTAAATTGTATAATTCATCCCACTCTCACCCAACCGGTCGAGGCAGATGGCCGTCCCTCCCTGAGCCTGGTTCTGTCGGAGGTTTTTTTTCCCCTGTGGGGGTTTTCGGTTCCTTCCCACTGTTGTGGACTGCTTGCGGACTGCTGAAGCTTATAGGGAATCCAGATGTTTTGGATTGTTGGGTGTTTCTGTCTCTGCCTTTGTGAAGCGCTATGAGATGACTGTTGTTGTAAATATGCGCTATACAAATAAAATTGAATTGAATTGAATTGAAATGTCTTTTAACAGCATTCTAAAAGAAAAACCACGCAAACAATATACTGTACACGCTATTTAGAAAGCAATATTCAACTGTACTGGAAAGACAATGAGGTCATTAGATGATACTTTGACAGTAATTTACTTGTTACCTTTGGCCATCATTAAAAAGTCGTGCTGTACCAGCTAGTAACTCAGCAGCATTCTGTCTCCAGTGCAAACTAATAGAGTTATCCATGATGAAACTGCTCAATTACCTGTTCCAGCAGTTCTCCTGGTTGTACGCAACAAGCTGATTATCCCCTAGCCCACAACCTTTTCAGTGAATCCCCAGCCAGCTGCAGACAGCGCTGCAGCTGAGGATTTGGAAAACATAATGATATTATGGTAATGTCAAGATACTGCTGGATTGACATTTCTGCTGATTGGGATTAGTGCTCCCATCCGTTTTTCCCACCCACGCAGCAATAGCTTAAGGTCTCTCTGTCAAAAGAACATGCTTTTAACATTGCTGGTGTCAGGGGTAATTTTTTGATGTTCCTCAAGTGGGCTTGTTTTGATGCAATTAGTTTATTTTCTTTGTGTAATGAGTGCACGCCCTGAGCTGTCTGCCTTCTGGAGACATTTTGGAAAAGAGCTGATCTCAGATTCAGGGACAGACTGCTACCATGGTCTGTTTATTTTCTTTTGTAATTAAGATCTTTAACAAGGATAGTCACGAGATTGTCTCATCTGTTAAGTTTACACATTAGAATACAAGCAGAGATACGGTATCCAGAGCGAACCGTATTACAGGCCTCTGTGACTTCATTAACAAATAATGTGTTTGTCATGTTTTATTTGACCAGACAGTTTTTGCAGCTGCTTTTAGTTCTGTATTTCAAGGATCAGGTTTTTTTTACTTCTCATTTAAAGAAGAATTTATCAGACACTGTTTAAAATATAAACTAACTGCTAACTCATGTCAAAATCTGTTTACTAGTCACACCAGCAGTACTCAGCCTGTTAAAAACAACTGTATAATGTGTTCTCAGGGCCCAGAATATATTGTCAAGTCTGACTAAATCATTTTATTCTGTGTATACATTTAGGACAACAGTCATCTTATTATTTTTTATTTTTTATTTTTGGGCGTTTGCCTTTATTTTAGAGCAGTAGAGGCAGGAAAGAGGGGAGAAAAATGGGGACAGACCTGCAGCAAAGGGTCGTGAGCGGGAGTCGAACCCACGACCGCTGCGTCGGGAACTGTAGCCCGTGTTCATGGGTCGCCCGCTCAGCTACAGGGGCACCCAGTCGTCTTATTTTTTTAATCCAGTGTTGGTTTTATTTGGTTTGACACAATAATACGTTGGTTAGTTTTGGGGTTACATCATAATTTGAAATAAGTGCTTCTTTAAGGTTAGAAGAGCTTGTCTTCATGGATACAATAACCTCCTCCAAAGCCTTTCTTCCTCTTAAGACCACTCTCCCCTGCAGGAACTTGAAGACTGAACCTTAGCTGCCACTGTTGAACATGTATCAGGGCTGTTTTTGGAAACAGATGAGGGGTATTTATTAAAGTGAAGAGAAGACAACACTGATTAGTTACATTTTAAGAGGACAGAAAGTGCAGTTTTTCTGCTCTTTCCATGTCCTCATCCAGTAGCATTTCTATTTTCAATGTAAATTCAGCATATGTGATATAACAAACCCTCCACAGTATGTGCTCATAGAACTGGATGCAATAAGTATCCAAAAGCAGTTGGATACGACACCACAAAGGAAAGAGGAAGGCTGAACATGCAAACAGTTGTGCCAGCTCACGCCTACCCCGAGTTCCTGCAGTGGAAAGCTGCTGTTTGTCTCGTACTTCCTCCTTTTCTCTTGTCATAATTACTATGCTGTGAGAGGGCACTGCAATTTCAGCCAGGACCAGGCTGATATGCTGACATACTGACTGTCGTTGCCATTACTGAAGCCATGCTGCTCGCACAGCTAATAGATAACTGCTGGACAAATAATCCCCGGTCCACAGATTCCTGAGCTTAAGAGAGATAGCGTGTCTGGTCCACATATTCTATGCGGTAATGTCTCTTTATTGTTGCCAAAAACAAACACAATATCAGTCATTTGGTGTAAAGTGAAAATTCTATCAAGGTCAGCACGTGTCACTCATTTACCGATTCTATGAGATGTTAAAGCTTGTGTTTGATCTCTTTCCTTTTCAACAGGTACCCATAAATTTGTGACAGGCGGGGAACATCTGGAGCTGACAGCCGTCACCAAAGAGCAGTCGGGATCGTACGAATGCATCGCCTCTAATGACATCTCGAGCCCTGACGTCAGGACAGTGCAAGTCACCGTGAACTGTAAGACACAAACTATCACATTTATACTATATGGTTGGCGTCATAGATATGTATAATAAATGCTAGATGTCTCGGCCAATGGAATCGCACGGCCACACTGGCGGCCATCTTGGTACGGTGCGCTCGCTCACCCATAACATTGTGTTGTAGTGGTGCATGTATGTTTAAATAACCATAACTTGCTCAGTTTTCTACCGATTTCCAAACGGTTTGGGTTGTTATAATCGTCAGAGGTGTAGTTATGACACTGCACTTATGGATAATTACTTTTATAATAGGAATGTTACTAATATGATAATATAATTTGAACTATTACATGTTAAGTTTAAACAAGTAATAATTCAATATATTGTATTATATTAGGAAAATTTTTTATAATATAAATGTGAAATTTATTTGCAATAAAAAATAGGTAAAAATTTTCACTTTACCAATACACATCAAGAAATGCTTCATGTTGAAATCCTCACCCTGAAGAGAGAACTAGAAGACTGTGGAGGTATACACATGGAGGACAGAGATAAGAAATGATCTAGTACAACTACGTGAATATAATAATATTAAAAATATAGAAGAAAAAACAAAGAAAATAGCTAAAAAATATAGAAAGTAGGACCCGCTGCACCTGGCTGCCATTCTCACGGCCAGCAACAACTTGTATTTTAATTATTTTGTATTTTATTTGTATTTTTGTAATTTGAATTGTAGCCACGTTAATAACGTTTGTAAGAAACCAAACTGTTTGTAAATCCATCAAGTGAGATAAGAGTATTTACGTTTGAGCAGATCACTCACCTTCCTCCACAGGTTCCACCAGAGAGCTGCCCTGTGGCAAGATGGCCGCCGGTGATGCCGTTCGAGACTCTGGCTTAAGACATCTAGCCTTTATTATACATATCTATGGCTGGCATAATGAGCAGGCACAACTAGATTCTGTATTGTACGATGAATCAAAGTCCATTCCAGTCTGTATTCTAGTCCAGGGATCTCCAAGTCCGGTCCTCGTGAATTGCAGGTTTTAGACGTTTCCGTGCTGCAACACACCTGGATCACTAACAGACTTGTGTAGAACTTGACAACAAGCTGTTGGAGATCCATTAATTTGAGTCAGGGAACATCTAAAACCTGCAGGACAGTAGCTCACGAGGACCGGACTTGGAGATCCCTGTTCTAGTCCATTGGGTCTTCCTGGACTGCTACTTAGTTAATATGATGCAACCCAAAACATAAAGCTAATGCAGCCCCTATATTCTGCTATTGCACAATTTCCTTTCCGTTTTTTTGTAGATCCACCCTTTATTTCCAAGGCGAGGAGTACGGGTACTCCGGTTGGACAAAAAGGGGTCCTACAATGCGAAGCCTCTGCTGTCCCGAGGGCAGATTTTGAGTGGTACAAAGAAGACCGCAGGCAAGTTTCTCGTCTGAGCTCTGTGATTTCTACAGGCTCCGAATTGTTTGAAGTCAGTATTACAGCCTCACAAAGACACCTATTCTGCTGTAAGCTGTAGACTTAGTTTATTTGAAACAAGCCAGGCTGGATAATCTTTGTTGATAAGTGACGGCTTTTACAACATGTCCTTGTTCAAAGTAAGGTACCGCTTTGGACATAATGAGATAATCACCCGATTCTTTTCGTCTCTCTGTGGGCAAAAATACTCATTTTTAATTACATCATGAAAAAGAAAATCTTCCCTCCATCAATTCAAAACTATCTTTTGAAAACAGTCATGGTCACCAAAGACTGTGATCACCAAAGGACTATTATTATTTTTACACTGTAATTGGTTTATGTCAATGGGGTGTGGGGCTCCAACGTTCAGAGGATATCCTAGTATAATGCAGCTTTTTTTCCGACTGACGGCTGGAGACTGGAACAATGTTTATGAGCAGCATCAGAGCTGGTAAGCTGATATAAACAGCCGCACTGTTAAATGGTCCCTGACAGTGAAAGCAGGATTTCTCGTCAGTCCCCAAAAGACAAAATGGGTCCTCAAGAACAAAAAAAAAGATAGAGGACAGTGATAAAATAAATGACGAGCACTCGCAAACATGGAATAAGGCAGCCGAGGAACAGGAAATGCAATAAGTGAAACAGAAGGAAGGTTGTCGCTCAGTGAAGGATGAAACACACAAATACATGCGCAGATACTTTAGTGTTCACAGTGTTGGTTCTTGACGTGAGAACTGTTTGCTTTTCACAGCCCTTCAGGTGTAAAAATACATCTCTACTGTCATGCAGACATCGTTCATATTAAGTACCATGGTGCTTGAGATTTGATAAGCAAATGGCCTCTTGGAAGGTTCCAGACAGGCTCCTCTCTTTGCTGCTCATCTGTAGGAGGTTTGAAAGCTGCCCCTCTTTCTTTACAGGCTCCTCAATGGACTTAATGGGGTTAAGATAGAGAATCAAGGTAAACAGTCGATGCTCATCTTTTTCAACGTCTCTGAAGAAGATTACGGGAACTACACTTGTGTTGCCATGAACAACATGGGAATCACTAACGCCAGTATAATCCTCTACGGTAAGAATATAAATGTTTAAATGATTAAAATGCATTTTCACTGTTTTCAAGTGGCTACGTCAAATAAAACAAAAATAAATTCTGCCTTGAAAGCAACCCGCCGTATGTTATTCACTGCTTTACCTTTTGTGTTTCTACCATTCAATAGTTTCCATGGCAATGGAAATTTAAGACACTGAAGCATCTGCATTGCAGCTAATTATACTTAATACCGAAGCAGAGCGATGCTCCAGCATTGATTTGAACTGGAAGACTTGCTAACCCCCTACAATGAATCAAGTGTTGCCTTCTTGTCCTGCAGGTCCGGGCGCAATGCATGATGTGAACGGGGCGGCGGTGTTGCCCCGTTGCTCCGTATGCCTCCTGCTGACTGTAACCTTACTGTACCTGCTCAAGTTCTGATGCGAAATGTGACTACCTTCAAGCATTGAATGGCAAGAACAGACTATTAGTGCTACAAGAAGAATGGAAATCCAAGTTTGCCAGTGGTACATCCTTAGTTTTCTTTCTTTTTTTATTTTCTCCTGTTTTTCTTTCTTTCTTTCTTTCTTTCTGGCTTTGCATTGGAGTCTGTTCTATGTTGGCTCGCCGAGAGTGAGAGGTATCAATCCGAGGAAGGGAAAAATTTGAATCATGCACTAATTTGACGATGGTAGAACTACTGAGTTGGTGTCTCCCCGAAACCTTTTTTTTGTATGTGAAAAGGGAAAAAAGAAAAAAAAATACATGTACCTGTTGATAGTTGACTGTTTATTGCCCAATATTGAAGTGTACATTCAGATTATTATTATTGTGTCACGTCCTGTTCAATATCTGTACAAAACCATTACGCTTTTTTAAGTAAACGACAAAAAAAAAAAGTAAAAAATGCAATGTGATTGTTGAATTTTACTGTATTTTTACAGTTGTATGCAAAACAGAATAACTGATCCTTCATAATAAACGATTCCGAATAAATAGTACACCATGATTTCTCAGGCAAGGTCCTACAGCATAGTGCATCCAAATTTTTATTTCCATTGTAGTGTATGTAGAAAATGTACAAACGTGTACAGACAATTCCTGCACTGTTGTTTTTCAAAATGCATACACTTATCAAATGGCATTTTTTGAAACACCTAATCACGGTTTCATAGCAGCTTCATGGCATGTTCATACCGACAATCTGAAATAAGATTCCCAGGCTCGTTCACGCAAAGCATCTACTGTCGCAAACTGAGCTTATGCTTGTCTGACGGCGCCCAGTGTCAGCGCTGGTGGTATCATTCACGTGTCAGGTTAGCGGGTGGTCTAACGAGTAACTAAACTGACTTCTCTCAAGGTGCTGCTGTTAATTTAAGAAGCTACATTTAATTTGTGAAAGTTTTCCTAACCTCAGTCTTCATTTTAAAGTTGTTGCTAAAAAAAATCGCCCCCCGGATTTTAAAAAAACAAAATAAAAGCACACATAAAGAGTAGTTTTTACTTTCCTCAGGCAGCCACAGTGGTTCTTGTGTTTCCTTGGTTGAGCAGTAGACCTTTATGCAACTGAAACGTTTTGTTCTGATTCATGGAGTCAAACAGGTTGCTGCTTATCACGCTCATGTCGCTTCTTTTTTTTCTACTGAATGCAATTTACATGTGAATAGAGGGATTTAATGGCCCGTGCCTGTGTTTTTGCAGCTTATTTTCTAAAAGCGAAATGTGTCTTTTTTTACTGCCCATGCAGTCGTTCCTCTCCACCCTTATCTGTACGGTGCTTCTTTTTTTGTTAATTTATTATATTTTTTTAATTTGTTTTCTTCTTAAATTATGCTCATTATTTGTATTATTCTTTCCTGTTAATCTAACTTTAATATTGTTAAGTAATCATTGTGTGGTAATATGAGTGAAAAGCATAAACTGTATTAGCAATGCCACGCTACAATAACATAACTGTGAAAAAGACTAAAAGCAGACATTATATTACTCACCTGTATCTCAAGCATACATCTGTAAATTGATTTAGTACATTTATTTACATATATAGTATGCACATTTTGTTATAATCGAGGTTTGTACTCAAACTTGCTGTCAGTTAACCAGAAAACAGGTGTTTTCTAGTATTTATCCCACGAGTATTTTAAACGTGATGTGTTGGAAAAGCTAGATAGACTTAAGAGCTCCTTCAATTTTCAATAGTTTTGAACATTCTTTTTTTTTTTCCCCCAAAAAAAAAACCCCTCTGCACACAGTTCCAGTCAAGCCCACAGATAACGCAAGCAAGTCATCTTGTATGAATGTTCCGTGTAGCTGCTATGAAGCTTTTTCTTTCAGATGTTGTGAATGTGTGCTTTTAACCTGGTTTGCCCCGAGATAAACAGCGGATGCTGTTCTCGAGCCTGCAGGAGTGATGGTTGTGTTCCGTGGTTGGTGGATGAATTTTCAAGGGACATTTTTCAGTCTGCCTCTGCCCCAAGTGACGAGAATATACCTAGAGCACAAGTGATCGCTAATGTGATGTTCTTCTATTGTCCAGTTCACTCCTCTGCATACCTATGAGTTAGAAGACAACAGGGACGAGGCCGATGTACGTGGGAATGCTTTTGTTGTATTCATATGTTAAGTTATGTGCTTGTGATGATGGTGAACCAGTTAGCTGAGGTCTATGTCACAGGATGTGAAATCAGTTTTTTGGGGGGAGGTGTTTGCAAAAAAAAAAAAACACAGACAGAGGGGGGATACAGACGCCTGATAAACTGACAGGTTACTGTCGCCTCTTTTCATCCCAGATAGATGATCATGAAAAATATTGATGTCAATAAGCTTGAATGAATTTGTTTCAAATCCCTATTAAAAGAAGAACTGATACTGGAATTTACTTAAGTTGTATTTTTGCATGACACCATGACAGAGACAACAATGCAAGTTTGTTTTGTTTTTATGGTTTAATGATTTTAGGTCCACGCATTTCACATTATCTATAAACCTCCTTGATGCATAATTCTCTGGGCATTTTAAAAACTGCAGTATTTACCATTCACTTGTCATTTACTATGTTTTGTCTCCCCGTAAAACATTTTATTTTTTTTTACAATGTACAATCCCACTGATGGTTGCATTGTGAATCTGTTTGATATGTTTTCTGCCATAACTGGAGGTCGAGCATACAGTAGTCACTATTGTGGTATGTAGTCATCGTATCATTTGATTGAGAGATTGCAAAAATGTCCATAAACTGGTTAAATGTGTATTCCAAGTTGTCAATCATTTGTTCTGACTCTGATGCCACGCGTTGCTGTCTGTAGTTTGTGTGTTTCTTTGTGTGAAATGATTACGGCTGTAGTGACAAAGCTACAGAGAATTATCTCCACATCTCCCATTTCCTCTCAGCTTAATGAAACACAGCCAGCTATAGAACAGACAAACATGTCGGCCGCTCGCTGTTTAACACAGTGGATGATTTAGACGTGTTTTTCTCAGGAGTTTAACAAGAAACAGATAATTAAAGCAATTATACAGTGTTAATAATAAAAAACTAAAGGTAGCAGTGTTTATAAGAGAAGTCGCCGGAAACCGGAAACACAGAATCATGAGGAGTTAATAATCAGAGGATCTCAGGGAGGTACAGCAGCAACCAGGAGGTTTCAGCTGGTCCTTGAAATGAAGTCTGGACACCTGTGAGGCCGTCCTTCCACAACAATATGACCTAAAGGATTATTCATACGAGCATTGTTCTATTTTATTCCGACATCTCTCTAGAGGTCAGAGAAATTAAAGCAGCAAAGTTTACAATATGCACAGAACACCGACTGAAGATGAAACAATGAAAGACATTTATTTTTTCCTGCAGTTGCTACTGAGGACAAGAGTTCATTGCTTTCAGATTTCAGGCAGAATTAATACCAAAATAGAAGAAAAAACTAACTATAGAACTGCTAGATTTTCGTTTACCTGATATTAAGAGAAGAAGAGTTTTGTCATTAGCATACTATCGACAAAAAAATGTCCAGAGCTGGGGTCATCGGGGATGAAAACGTGTCAATCTTCACTGAAGCTAATGTTGCAGATGAAAGACAAATTACTCCAGTGCCCTACCCAAAAATGTCTACAATATGGTTGAGGTGATGCAAGAGTATGAAATGGTCAAAACATGTCTTAAGTCATAGTTTGCGAAGATGTTTCATTTAATGTTTTGCAAGAGGAAAAAATTATGTTTAAATGAAGAGAATCGAGCGAGATGAAAAGAGGAATGAAATAACACCAACACACACGAAATGTGTTATAACTCTGCATCAATCTGCATTTTTTTAAACCAGTGCAATATGTTAAAAATATAGTTTTGCTAACATGTATCGTCCAGTAAAAGCACAGCATACACCAGCAGCGAGCACAGCCCTGTGCAGTATCACTGAAATGTCAGATGTTTCCAGATGTTATCACTTATTAATAACTGCAATATTTCTAAATTGAGAAGTAGTATTTCCTCCTATGAACCATCAAAAACAAAATCTTTAGAAAGACTATGATAAAAACACTAATGAAGTAACTCTGTGCAACAAAAGCGGTCACGCCTTTGATCACCAACACACAAGTTAGAAAGCCTGCACATGTGTGATTTCCAATTAGCCTAACTGCATGAACGCGGTTATAAAATAACCAGAATTCGCTTTATCTTGGACAAGTCTTTCTATTTCGGCTCCGCATGAAAATATCTGACTTGAAAAATGTGAATGCGAGAGTTCACAGACAATATAAAAGGATGCATGAAGATCTGTGACCAACTGAAAATCAGTGGACACCAGTCATGAGTGGAATTTGTAGCAGTAAACGGGAGGTACAGGACAATCCCCCTAGAACACGGGTGTCCAATCCTGGTCCTCGAGGGCCACAGTCCTGCATGTTTTAGATGTTTCCTTCTTCCAACACACCTGATTCAAATGATCAGGATGGTTATCAGGCTTCTGCAGAGCTTGATGATGAGCTGATCATTTGAATCAGGTGTGTTGGAAGAGGGAAACATCTAAACCATGCAGGATTGTGGCCCTCGAGGACCAGGATTCGACACCCCTGCCCTAGAATAATGGCATGAGCAGTGTACTACTTGCACAACGAAGCTCTAAAAAGGAACTAGGAAATCTAAATTTCTGTGACAGCTCATACAGTGTGAAGGCCTGTATGTAATGTCAACCTTTATGGGCACTGTCCAAACCTTGCTTGCTGTTTAAAAACAAAAAATTTGTCAGACAGACTTTTGCTAAGAACATAAGAAACCGGATGAATACTGGAACAAGTCCTTAAGTCAGATGAAACCAATTTATTCAGTCCAGCACTACCACAGTGAACGCATAGTCCTGACAGTAGAGCACTGAGGCGGTAGTACGATAATATGAGGCTGCATGAGTGCCAAAGGTGTTGGGCAGATGACATTTATAGATGTCTTCATGACTGCTTCTGGATATACCAAAACACTGCAGGACAAGATGACTCCCAGTCTGCAGAGGCTTGGTGCAGGAGGAATATTTCAGGATGGCAATGATCAAAACACACAAGAGCTTCTGAAGAACAAACAAGTGGACGCTACGCCCCGGACAAGTACGTCACCTGACCTGGACCCAACAGAACAACTTGATGGCAGCTCTGCATGACTTTGGGTTCCTACATACCGAAGAGGATTGAGCCCATCCAACCATCCTCACTAGGGTCGCAGGCAGGGGACACCCTGGACAGGTCACCAGTCTATCACAGGGCTACACTTAGAGACAGACAACCAAGCACACTCACATTCACACCTACCGGCAATTTAGAATCACCAATTAACCTCAACATGTTTTTGAACCTTGTGGGAGGAAGCCGGAGAACCCGGAGAGAACCCACGCTGCACGGGGAGAACATGGAGACTCCACGCAGAAAGATCCCGGATGTCCTCACTGGGCTGCAAACCGGTGACCTTCTTGCTGCGAGGCAACAATGCTAACAACGGATCCACCTTGCAGCCCAGGATTGGACATACAAAGTACAGAAATTAATAAGAGCAACTTCCCGACTAATCAACTTCTAAGTAATGCACTTATTATAGGATGTTACAATTTTGAATCCTTTGACATTTTCGTGACATTGTTTTTACGTCTTTTGTTTCCCACAGAGACCTTTACTTCAACTGGACAAATATTTAAAAGACTACAGTTCCACAAATCTCGCCATAAATAGGCATCTATCGCTGCCCTCGTACTTCCTGTCAGTGCTAAATCTGCACACCACAGCACCCACAGCCACCCTCCTTTCTTAATAAACAGGAATGCTCAGTGTCACCGCTGTCAGAATTGATAGGAACTCACACAGCCTCTGCACAGTGACATCAATATCTGCATGTGTTAGATCCTGGGCTCCTTCCAGTGTAACCTCGTTATCAGAGCAAAGCTTTTTTTTTTAAAGAAAAAAAAAAAGCAGGGCAAGTTTGGCGTCTGTGGTGTCAGTAAGCTGCCTGTTACCTCTTTGTGTGTGTAAATGAATGGCAGCAGATGTACTCTGGTGACAGATCTGTGAGATATTAATGCAAATTCTTGCCTCAAGGTTTTTTGGAATGTGAATACTTTTCATGCAACTTCCACAACTTCATTTTATTTTAAGCCACCGGTGTGATTACAGAACTGCTGATACTTTACAAGGTAATGGGGACATTCTTTGTCGTTTTATAACCAGCAATACCTATTCATTTTACAATAAGCCACACGTAGAAATATCTGAAATTCCTGACTTTCAAGCCAATTGATTTAATCTGGAAAAAGTTAAACAAACCTGTCTTGTGAAAAGGTTCTTGGCAGGAGTGCTTTTCAAACTTGACGACAGCACGATGAGCCTGAAGTGCCAACCTGCCGGTGGCCTCACAGCGTGATGAACACCAACAATGTTCCAATTACACGATATAACTCTATTGCTTCTCTGAGGCGGGAATCTAAAAAGCTTTTTTGTCTATTGCTCAGACCAAAGCCAGCAGGGAAGAACAAACAAAAGTGATTTCGCTTTTACAGATACCGCCTATAACCAGCCTAATATAATAAAATCATATCCTTCTGAGTGGCCTTTATATTGAATTTAAGTCTTGTAAAAATGTTCTCGTGGGGCCGGAGGAAATCTGGTGTCCCCAGTCTCTTTAGTCACAAATATGACAATACACAGCCAACAAGCTCTTTCAGATATGACTAAATTCAATGAGTATTGTTCTCTGCTGACAGGTTCAATGCGAGGTGAATTTCTTGCTTGTACACAAAACAAAGCAGCTGGATCAAGAATCAGACGGAACATTATTTTTCGCTGCTTTGTTCTCAAACACGCTCATTATCTTAGATAGCTACTTCAAGGTTAATAGGCAATTTTATTTTCTTTCTACCAACTAATTCAATTGTTACTCAGTCACAAATCTAAGGAAAGGCGTCCTTTGTCTTTAAAATAGTTGATTAAGAGCCGAGTGGGGCGACAACTAGAAATGTAGTCCCCCCAGCAGTCTGCATCACACCAGGTTTCACTGGCTGACTCCTAACATGCCCTGTACTCGAGCTTAAGTCCCTCATCTTGCATTCAAACCATAGACTGCATAAAAGATGGACGTAGCAACCGGCCCTGAAAAATGATGCCAACCCGGAAGTGTCAAAAACCTGCCATATCACTACGTTCGCTAGCTGCTGGCTCCAAAAAGCCCTGGCTCCCATAGACTGGAATTGGAAAAGAAGTGATCACAGATCATGAAATACTGCATTCCTACAGCTCAGGATTTTTTTCTTATTAGTTTTCATCGTCAAATCCAGAGATCAGGTGGCCAATCTGAAAATAAATCAATACTGAATTTTTAAAAAACCGTCAACATTTTGCGGGGCAAGGGGCGTGGCTGGCTTGATTGACAGTCGACGATGCAGACGAAGCGAGCAGAAGGCGGTAAATGTGGGCGGGCAGAGAGGGCCCGCCTCTCAATCCGTCTGACCAATCACTGCCCCTATGGCTCCGCCCCCCTCCGACGATTTTTGCGTCACTGGCTCCAAAAATCCAAGATGTCAACCAGGAAGTAGCAAAACCCTGGCTTCATTTTCTCAGTGCAGAAACCAACGGGTGACGTCACGGTAGCTCCGTCCATCTTTTATACAGTCTATGATTCAAACCCACGTTACCTCTGGAATCAGCGACTCAGATGCTTTTTGGGCTCTGTTAAGCCAGCATAGAAGAGATGCTCTAGATTAAATAAATAATAATTTAGGACTA